CCACCTGTCAATGAATGAGGCTCAGGAGATGCAGGTTTGATCCCTGGATTGGGAAGACCCCTGGAGGAGGAAATGACAACCCACACCAGTAATCTTGCCTGGGTAATCCCATGGACAGAGAAGCCTGGCGGATTACAGTCCATGGGGTCACAAAGAGTACAAGTGACACAATCATTTAACGGTTTGCGAAGGACATAGCTCAGCACTATCATTTAATAGTCACAAAGGTCATGACTGAGCACAGTCATTTAATAGTTATTTTATTTCTTTTTTTTAAGGCAAATTTTATAGAGAGAATAAAGGCTGAGCACAATTGAGTTCCCAGAAGCTAGAATGGATATCCAGCCTATTAAATTGATCATATCACCAAATGATAGCAAACTCCTTCATATTCCAGCCTTATCAGCAAACTCGTCCGTCTGTATAGGTATTTAAATACTGCAAGACCTGAAACAAAGCAGAAGCTGGGAACACACAGTTTGCTTTGGTTTGAAGAATTTTTTTTTTTTATCAAAACAGCATTTTCAATGTTAAACAAGGAATGGTGAAGCCCTCTAACTCTTCAGGGCTATAACTGTCAGTTCCTGCTGGTTAGTTTTATTTTCAGTACTGTTTGCAAAGACTGTTTCAGTACATATAGTCTGTGGGAGAGAGACTTCTCTGAGTGGGGTCTGAGGCCAGATCCAGGGCACTCTCTTACTAATACCATTAAAGACAAAACTCAAGTGAGCACTCCTGGATGGCAACTTACTCTTGGCCTGTGGATCCATCAGACTGGCTTTTACATGGAAGTTCCTGAGGATGAATGTGTGTGATTTAATCTGCTTCTCAAACCCAGGATACCTGAACACTTGCTCGAGATCCCCAAGGAAAACAGAAATCTTGAGAGGACAAAGCAAACTTCACCACCAACTCCTTTATGATGGTCTCCACTGATAGATGTAACAACACGGAGAACATGCCTACCATCAGATGGTCCCCAGAGCCCGGGGCCCCAGCAGGAGGACCACAACCACAACCATGGGCCACCCAACTTGGAGTATCAGACCTTCACTTCCTACCACGTCTCCCAGCATGCAACAAACAATAATTTGGTTGAATGGATGAGAGAGTATCGCCCTCATGACAACGAAAGATGCTCTGGAGCAAAGAGCCTGGATGGAGGGAACTGTACGTGTCTCATCACCTGTAAAATGTGAGAGTCAGTGGCCTTATTCTGCACAACACACACACCCAGAACACACACACACCATACGTGTGGGATACACACACACACAGAACACAGCACACACACAACGCACACACAGAAACTTTTTCATGGGAGTAGAGTAAGCAGAGGGCCTTGGTCCCTGTGGGCTGCTATAACAAAAGACACAGTCTTGGAGGCTTATAAACAATAGGTGATTCTGGAGGCTGAAGCCCAAGTGTGGTTCCAGTCAGAGTCAGGGTCGGGTCCACAGGGACCTCACAGGGAGAAAGGGGGAGGGGTCCCGTGGTCCTTCTATAACAGCACTGACCCCATTCCTGAAGGCTCCACCCTCACAATGAAGAGTCTCCCCTGGGCCCCACCTCCTAATACTGTGACATGGCCATCAAGATCTAACGCGTGAATCTAGGCACAAACGTAGCAGGAGCTGAAGTGAACATCCCTGGGCCAAACTTTTGAATTATTGCTTTTTCTATCTTTTTACTTAACAAGATAAATTTAAAAGCCAGATGTGATTAACCAGGATTATTATGCTTTTTAAAATTAAAATTAATAGAAATGTTGCACCAACTTTGCATACTAGGGATAAACCACCCTTGATTGTGGTGTGTAACTATTTTTATGCTTTGTTGGGTTCTATTTGCTAATATTTTCATGTAGATTTTTCTGTTTATGTTCATGAGAGATATTGGTCTGTAGTTTCCTTTCACTTTTTAGAATTCATTTTTGGCTGTGCTGGGCCTTCATCGCTGTGTGAGATTTTCTCTAGCTGCGATGAACCGGGGTTTCTCTCCACTTGTGGTGCATGGGCTTCCCTTTGAGGTGGCTTCACTTCTTGTGGAGCACAGCTCTGGAGCACAGGTTCAGGAGGTGTGGTGCACAAGCCTAGTCACTCTATGGCATGTGGAGTCTTCCCAGACCAGGGATAAACTCTGTGTCCCCAGCATTGGCACATGGATTCTTATCCACTGTACCAACAGGGAAGTTCATTGTATGACTTCTGTTGTTTTAAATTTCTTAAGGTGTGTCTGTGGCCCAGAATGTGGTATGGTATATCTTTGTGAATCTTCCATGTGAGCATGAGAATAACGTGTGTTCTGTTGTGGCCATAATTAAAAGATGTGAATTGTATCCAGTTGATGAATGTTATTTTTTTGATATTTATTTATTTGGCTGTGTTGGGTCTTAGTTGTGGCACCCTGGATCTGCATTGCATCATGTGGAATCTTTTGTTTCCGCTCACAGACTCTCTAGTTGTGATGTGCAGGCTCAGTAGTTGGGGGTGTGGGCTCTAAAGCATGTGAGCTTCAGTAGTTGCAGCACACGGGATTAGTTGCTCCGTGGCATGTGGGTTCCTGAACTGGAGTTTGAACTCACGTCCTTTGCATTGCAAGGCAGATTCTTAACCACTGGACCACCAGGGACGTTCTTAGATGTTATTGTTGAGTTTAACTGTGACCTTCCTGATTTTCTGCCTAAAGATCTGTCCATTTCTAACAGACAGGTGTTGATATCTCCAGTTCGGATAGTGGATTTACCTATGTCTTTTGCAATTCTATTAGTTTCTCCTTCACACAGTTTATCCATTATTAGGTTCATTCACATGAAGGATTGTTATGTCTTCCTGATAACTGATCCCTTTACCATTATTTAATGCCCTCTTTATCCCTGATACCTTTCCTCACTTTGAAGTTTGTTCTCTGAAATTAATAGGCTAATCCTGCTTTCTCTTGACTACTGTTTACAAATGTATTTTCCTTCCTCTGTCTTTATACACAGCATGAGTTTCCTATAGACAATGTATGACTGAGCCTGCTGTTTTGATCCAGCTTACAATCAATTATTGGTCATTTATATCACTGACTTTCAAAGTGATTATTGATGTAGTTGGATTAGTATCTACCATATCTGTTACTGTAGTTTACTTGTTGCCCTTCTCTGTCTAATTTTTTTCTATACTTTTTCTGCCTTTTGTGATTTTACCTGAGCATTTTGCATGATGTCATTTTCTCCCTTTTATTAGCATATCACTTAAATATTCTTTTTTTACTTTTTTTAGTGGTTGCTATAGAGCTTGCATCATACATTTACAGCTAATCAAAGGCCACTTTCAAATAATGTCATAATCCAAAGGTAGTATAAATACCTAAAACAACAAAATAATCCTAGACCCTTCATTCGATCCCTTGTATCTTTGCTTCATTCAATCCCTTGTATCTTTGTCATTTTTTAAATTTATATACAAGCATGTTGTTGTTGTTTTCTAGTCACTAAGTCATATTCGACTGTTTGTGACCCATGGACTGTAGCCTGCCAGGCCCTTCTGTCCATGGGATTTCCCAGGCAAGAATACTGGAGCAGGTTGCCATTTCCTTCACCAGGGGATCTTCCTACCCTAGGGATCGAACCTGGATCTCCTGCATTGGCAGGTGGATTCTTTACTGCTGAGCCACCTGGGAAGCCCATATATAAGCATGCATTAGCATATATAAGTATATAATATATGCTTGCATAATTGAATATACTGTTGGTAGTATTATTTAACAAAATGTTATCTGATAGATACATGAGAACTAAGAAAAATAAAAGTTTATTTTGACCTCACTTATTCTTTCTTACTTTATGTAGGCCTGAGTTTCTGACATTCTCTCTAAACAACTGTTTTTTCCTTTTGTCTAAACAATTTATTATTTTCCTTCTCTAAACAACTTATTTTTACCATTTCTTGCAAGGCAACAAATTCACTCAGTCTTTGTGTGGCTGAGAAAGTCTATATTTCTCCTTCATCTTTGATAGATAATTTTGCAAGATATAGACTTCTAAGTTAGTCATTTTTTCTCAACACTAAATACTGTACTCTCTTCTTACTTTCATGGATCCTGAGAAATCAAATGTAACCCTGAACTTTGTTCCTCTAGGGTGTTAGAGAATGCTTAAAGAAAATTTATGCAATGCAAACTTTAGCCCTTCATGAAGCAAACAGTCTCCACTAGGAAAACTGAAAAATGGGGGAGAAAGCAAGAAACTTTTCTAAGAAAGAATGAAGAACAAGATGGAGACAAATATGAAATTTCTGATTGGCGGGACAACACAGTCAATCTTGTTTAGTATGAGAAGGAGCAAGGTAATAACTGTAAAGCCCAGAATGGGGAGACTGGCTGGATATGCAGTGTTTCTGGTTCAGAGAAGAATTATGCCCAGAGACACAAAAGTCATGTTAAGTTGGCTTTTGTTTTGTTTTGTTTTTTGGCCATCATGACACTTTTATTGATTCAGTCAATTTCACACGCTCAGGGTGCGGCACTCCACCTACAGGGCAGCCGAGAGAAGGGGCAGACATCCATAAAGGAAGGAGATAAGAGAAATAGAGAGAGAAATTCTTGAGGAACACAGACTGGAAAGATGTTAAGGAGAATCCAAGGCCAGGATAAAGAACAACTCGGGTTGCACTTTTGGAGCTGGTCTCAGGAATCCTTCTCCTTCACCACGGCCATCAGCACCAGGACGCTGACCAGCACAGCATACAGGGTGGCCTTCCCCAGCAGGATCTCATAGAGGAGGGTGGCAGACAGGACCCCTTGCTGATAAGACATGGAGGTGACACCACAGTCTGCTCTGCCCCAGGCCTCAGTGCTGATGTTCTGGGTGACAGGCTTGCCCTGTCCTCCTCCTCCCACTTGTCCTGGTCCGTGAGCCCGTGGAACTGGACTTGGCAGCGGAAGTGGTTGTGGGGTTTGTGCCAGAAGGCGGCGGTCACTCTCAGCTGGCTGCTCAGACAGCATCTGGAGTCATCTCACGTGGGGTCCTCCCTGTAGGGCTCAGGGTCCATGCTGACCCCAGTCGTGACATGCTTCCTGTTCATCCACCAGGTCAGCTCCACGTGGTCGGGGTAGAAGCCCGTGGCCAGGCACACGAGTGTGGCCTTCTGGGTCTGGGAGATCTCTGCTTCCAAGGGTTCGAACACAGCCACCTTGGGCGGGTGCACCTGGCTCAGATCGTCTACGACTGTGAGCTTGGTGGCTGGGCAGAAATACTGCTCATATGAGCACGGAGGAAGAGCCCCGCACTCCGTGTTAAGTTTTAATTTGCTGCCATGGCACCCTAGACAGGAGCAGCTCAATCTTGGACCTAGAAAGTTATTTCAACACCAGACAAGATGCTTTTCTTGGTTTTCCCCCCTCTGATGTCTCTCAAGATTTCTTGTTTATCTTTAGTCTTACATAAATTGAGCATAAAATTCCAGCCAGTATTGTTTCATAACCCTAAAAAAGAAGATGCCATTAAAGTGCTGCACTCAGTATGCCAGCAAATTTGGAAAACTCAACAGTGGCCATACGACTGGAAAAGGTCAAATTTTATTCCAATCCCAAAGACGGGCAATGCCAAAGAATGTTCAAACTACCACACAACTGTGCTCATTTCACATGCTAGCAAGGTGTTCCTCCAAATCTTTCAGCTGGGCTTCAGCAGTATGTGAACTGGGAATTTTCAGATGTACAAACTGGATTTAGAAAAGGCAGAGGAACCGAGGTCAAATTGTCAACATCTATTGGATCATAAAAAAAGCAAGAGAATTTCAGAAAAAACATCTACTTCTGTTTCATTAACTACGCTAAAGCATTTGATTGTGTGGATAACAACAAACTGTGGAAAATTCTTAAAGAGATAGAAATACCAGATCATCTTACCTGCCTCCTGAGAGACTTGTATGCACATCAACAAGCAACAGTTAGAACTGGGAATGGAACAATGAACTGGTTCAAAATTGGGAAAGGAGTACATCAAGGCTGTATATTGTCACCTTGCTTATTTAACTTCTATGCAGAGAACATCATGTGAAATGTGGGACTGGATGAGTCACGGACTGGAATCAAGATTGTCGGGAGAAATGTCAATAACCTCAGTTATGCAGATGATACCACCCTTATGGCAGAAAGCGAAGAGAAACTAAAGAGCCTCTTGATGAGAATGAAAGAAGAGTGAAAAACCTGGCTTAAAACTCAACATTCAAAAAACTAAGATTATGGCATCCCGTCTCATCACTTCATGGCAAATAGATGGGGAAATAATGGAAACAGTGACAGACTATTTTGGGGGGGGCTCCAAATCACTGCAGATGGTGACTGCACCATGAAATTAAAAGACACTTGCTCCTTGGAAGAAAAACTATGACAAACCTAGACAGCATATTAAAAAGTAGAGACATCACTTTGCCAACAGGTGCATGTCTAGTCAAAGGTATGGTTTTCCCAGTAGGCATGTATAGATGTGAGAGTTGGACCATAAAGAAAGCTGAACGCCAAAGAATTGAAGCTTTCACACTGTGGGGCTGGAGAAGACTCTTAAGAGTCCCTTGGACAGCAAGCAGATCATACCAGTCAATCCTAAAAGAAATCAACCCTGAGTATTCATTAGAAGGACTGATACTGAAGCTCCAATACTTTGGTCACCTGATGCTAAGAGCCAGCTCATTAGAAAAGACCCTGATGCTGGGAACGATTGAAGGCAGAAGGAACAACAGAGGATGAGATGGTTAGATATCATCACCGACTCAGTGAACATGAGTTTGAGCAAGTTCCAGGAGACCGTGAAATACAGGGAAGCCTAGAGTGCTGTAGTCCATGGGGTTCCAAAGAGTGGGAAACAACTTAGTGACTGAACAACAACTTGTTTCATATGTTTCATTTGTTTCTCTCTACTCTGATGACCCCCAGGTGGGTTAGGTTTGAGCTCCTATGTTTCCCCAAGTGCAGCCTTATTAAGAAGAACAGAGTGCTCTCTCTGTCAGAGTATAAAGGGTTTTCTCACTGATATTTAATGTAAGGACCTGGTTGAGCTCCTCAGGATAAACCCCCCAAAAATAGTCTGACACTGTTTCCACTGTTTCCCCATGTATTTCCCATGAAGTGATGGGACCGGATGCCATGATTTTAGTTTTCTGAATGTTGAGCTTTAAGCCAACTTTTTCACTCTCCTCTTTCACTTTCATCAAGAGGCTGTTTAGTTCTTCTTCGCTTTCTGCCTTAAGGGTGATGTCATCTGCATATCTGAGGTTATTGATATTTCTCACAGCAATCTTGACTTCAGCTTGTGCTTCCTCCAGCCCAGCGTTTCTCATGATGTACACTGCATATAAGTTAAATAATCAGGGTGACAATATACAGCCTTGACGTACTCCTTTTCCTATTTGGAACCAGTCTGTTGTTCCATGTCCAGTTCTAACTGTTGCTTCCTGACCTGTATACAGGTTTCTCAAGAGGCAGGTCAGGTGGTCTGGTATGCCCATCTGTTTCAGAATTTTCCACAGTTTATTGTTATCCACCCAGTCAAAGGCTTTGGCATAGTCAATAAAGCAGAAATAGATATTTTTCTGGAACTCTCTTGCTTTTTTGATGATCCAGCAGATGTTGGCAATTTGATCTCTGTTTCCTCTGACTTTTCTAAAACCAGCTTGAACATCTGGAAGTTCACGATTCACGTATTGCTGAAGCCTGGCTTAGAGAATTTTAAGCATTACTTTACTAGCATGTGAGATGAGTGCAATTGTGTAGTAGTCTGTAATAAAATGCTTATGAACCATGTCCACAAGAAAGGCACAGGATCTGTATAAATAAAGCAACTGAGTCATTCTGAAAGAAGTAATGGAAAATGCCAACAGAATAGAAAAGTATGAGAAGAATAAAAGTATCCATTTCTCCTAAATTATCATAGAATTCAGTCTTAAAGGACCACAATACTTTACAAACATTCACCATGTTAAACTATTAGCACCATTCTCAAATTGGTAGCTTTAGATGAAATATGAGTGTAGTGTTAACATCCATAATTTATTTTGGCAGCTAAATGATATTAAACTAGATAAACACTAGTCTTATCTTTATAAAAATAAATAAGATTTAATTACATCTTCAAAAGCATTTAAATTCAGCTTAATTTCTCATTCTGATTTCTTTATATTTTTCATTCCAGTTTATCTTTTAATTTTAAAGATAATGTTGAAGTAATATAATTTTCATTGAACAAATTGAGGTTATCTATTGAAGGGAAAGTAATGTTTAGATGGAAAAAAAATTGAGCCATATTTTGTAAACTTTTAATGCCTTCATTTTAGCAAAATCACTGTTTTCAATTATTTATATAAATACCCCTTCCCTTCAACAGAACACGAAAGCTGTGCAGTGATAGTGGTCTTGGATATTTTGTCAAATTTCAGTCACATAGCACTCATAATTTCACACATGTTAAAGTCTCGTCTTGGAGATTCACATATTATTTGGTAGTTTATTGGTATTTGTAATTTTATCTTTAAAAAGGTAAACAAGACACACTCACCTCACTTGCACTGTGGCTCACGACTGTTAGGAGGGGCTGCAAGGGAGTTTCTGAGTTCATCTGAGAAGCTGGCAGATGGGTGGGGAAGCGCGGGCATCCTGATTGAGGAGCCGGAGGGGGGACGGGGCACAGGGGGAGCCTGGAGGAGCTCTGGGCCCAGAGAAACTATGGAGGGGCTTTGACCACACTTCTCAACCACAGTACTTATTTATTTTTACTGCGGTATCTTTATGCTTTTATTTGTACCTTTTACTACTGTAATACAGACAAAATGGAAGACCATTATTGGACTGTGGTAAATTCCACAATGTCATATCACTTAAGACCTATCTAGTTCTTGGTGAGGATTATTCTCAACATCATGATCTATGAAGCTATAGCACTGATTATTGTAAAACCCTTTTTGCATAAGTATGAAAATACAGTATCATGGGTCTGAAATGTTTCTGAAACAATCTCATAAGAAATAGAAACTTTTATTTATTTATTTTTCTGCACCTGGTCTTGTTTGTGACATGTGGGATCTAGTTCCCTGACCAGGGATTGAACCCAGGAGGAAAAAATGCATTGCCTAATTGCATTGGGAGAAAAAAAATTTTTTCCCTAATTTTTATTTAGTTGTTAGCTCTGAATGTGGCCACTAGGTTTCTATGTAGGAAGGTCTGGATATGATGAAGAATTTAAGAACAGAAGACTTAGAGAGGAGTTTTGTGGTGATAAACAAAGCAAAACAGGGAAAAGAGCAAGTAACACTTTGCTCTAAATGTGAGACAAGTGCAAGTTCAAAAACGCAAAACATGGTGGAAAAGGCCTCTCCAGTATTTATTGAGGAAAATATTGTGTGATGGGCCAGGCAGTTTCCAATCCTGTGAACTGTACATTCTAGTAGGCAGAGGGGACACCCCATTTTCTGAACCCCAAGCATGCCCTTGACGTGTTTTTATCAGAGAGTGTGGTTGAACCTATTTGAGTTGTGTGAAGCAGCAGAATCCGGTGAGCCAAAAATGCACACGTTATGACATTCTGCAGGTTATGAGGAAGGCCTTACAAACAGGTTTTAGTGAACAGATTTCACTCCTTGTGTCGCTTCCATTAAATATTAACAGTTCTGTGATGAGGCAGAACCAAACAGGGTCAAAATCACGCATGGATCATTGGAGTCAGACTTTGTAAAAAATGTTTGCCGTTCTAAGTCACTTCAGTCGTATCCAGCTCTTTGTGACCCCAAAGATTGTAGCCCACCAGGCTCTGCTGTCTGTGGGATTTTCCAGGCAAGAATACTGGAGTGGGTTGCCATTTCCTTCTCCTTAAAAAAAAAAAAAAAAAAAAAGTTTATTTATGTATGTATTGATTTATGGCTGCGCTGGGTCTTTGTTGCTGCATGGGCTTTTCTCTAGTTGCAGGGAAGGGGCTACTCTAGTTGCAGCGCATGGGCTTCTCATTGCAGTGGTTTCTCTCGTTGTGGCGTGCAGGTTTGCTGCTTGTAGCACGTGGACTCAGAACTTGCGGCTCCCGGGTGCTATGATGTGCGTGCTCAGTAGTGGGGGCCCAGGGGCTTAGTTGCCCCACAGCATGCGGGATCTCTGTGGATCAGGGATGCAACCCAGGTCTCCTGCTCTGGCAGGGGATTCTGTACCCCTGAGCCACCAGGGAAGCCTTGGGGTTAGTCTTTTAATAAGTGAGCCTCAACAAGATATAGATGAGCCTTATGGATGACCATGGTCCTCTTACTTGCATTCATTCTCCCTAATAATAATCCCTGGCATTTA